GGGGGGGGGGGGGGGGGGGGGGGGGGGGGTCATTGTATAAAAGTTGGGGTCAGGGGTGGGAGACCAGCTTTGTGAGGGGGAGCTTTCAAAATGCGTTCCAGTATTCCTTCTATACTCAAATACTCATTGGTCAATTAAAGCATTTTCAACTGCCCTTATTTCTGGAGGGCTGGTGGAGAGGTAAGCGAACTCTGTGCTTGCTAAACATGCAGAATAAGCAATCAAATAACAGAGGCCATGGAAAAATAACACAACTACAGACTCAGAAGTATCTAGACAAAGTCCTGAAGCCTAATCATGATGAGATTTGGGTCCCATTTTTCCTCTGCCATTTGGTTTCTTTGGGAATTCGATCTATCCTCCTCAGGGTGATGTAGACTCCTAGGAGTGCTTGGAATTTCTCCAGCCAGGCTACTCAAGAGGCAGGTACACTAAAAATCCTGTGAGTTTTCATCTGATGAGACAAACCTGACTGGAGAGATTGCTGTGGTGAATGACACAGGCTTCCAGACAATGAGCTCCCCGAAGACATTGACTGGAGTATCCATTTTTAAACTCCTAGCGCCTAGCAGAGTGCCTGGCACTTTTGCGAGCTGAGAGAATGAGTAGTAACATTTCACATCAAATGATGCATTATTATTTACAAAGTGATTTATTTCCCATGAATGAACTCATCCTCACACTGCCCCTGCTTTACTCCTGGAAGGTAGGCAAGGCTGTTTTGCAGATGAGGTCATATAGCTGTAGGCTGGAGAGGTGGCTTTCAGACTCTAAACCCACTGGCATTTTTATACAGGTGTCTTATTGAGACTACCTTTCCTAAAGTACTCTGCCAAAGGACTAAGAGAGATATGAGCAGGGATTCAGATGGGCATTTATGGTTTCTGCATTTTGTTCCTAAAACTGGAGTAGACATATTTTTCACCTAAGTCTCTCAATAATGGCATTATTTTCTGCTATTTGTTAATCACTGCAGGTGGATAGGTTTTCAATTACATTATGAGTGAAATTACATTATGAGAGGTTAGAGGCTAGCTGGGTAAACTGGTGAATGCCCATGTAGTTCGTAGTAGCTATTTCCTGATATAGATTTGGCATGATAACGCTATTGTGTCAAATATATTTTTTGGTAATTTCAATTAAGTAGATTGTCGCTTTATGGCACTGGGTCTTCAAGAAACACACGTTCAAACATTCTCATTGCTTAATGAGATCCTTGTTCCTGTTGAACGTCTATGACCTTATTGGAAATCAATGATTGTTTCTGATCTTCAGAATGTAAAGTTCAGGAGACCTAGATGAAATCACTCTACAAAATGCTTTGAGATTGCAGGAGGTGGAGAGCTGCTGTAATTAAAACGAATGATTCTGCTTAGAGGTATACCATATTTTAACTCTGAGTGCATACGGTGCATGAAGGAATTTTTCTGTGCAGGATTATTTTCCCCCAACAATTCTCATGATCACAGCACTCCCGGTAGCAGGTATCACCTAACTCCTGGACAGCAGCTTGGCTAAAGGCAGGGAAGGAAGCTTTCTTTTCCTAGCAACTGTTGCTACGAGGGGCGTGGCTTCAGAGCCTGGCGAGGACGCGTTCGGAGCCCCCTCCCCCCACCCCCGTAGACTACACTTCCCGTGATGCTCCAGGGTGGTCTCCGTGGTGACGCACTTGGTGTCCGCGGAGGGAGGGCGGGGGCGGCGGATGCGAGGGGGGCCCTTCTGCACATAGGCCTTCTGGAAGATAAGAACTTACTAGGAGATATAAAATAGGAAATTGGGTGGTGACGCATTCGGTGTCCGCGGAGGGAGGGCGGGGGCGGCGGATGCCAGGGGGGCCGTGTTCTCTCCGTGTCTCCTACTCGCGCTGAGGCTGCCGCCGCCGCCTGCCACCATGTTGGTTTGAGAGGCGATGACAGGAGGCGGCCGCGGCGTGTGGGACTGAAAAGTGGAGGAGGAAGAGGAGAGACAAAGCTCTGACAGGAAACCATTCTTGGGCTGAGGAGAGGGAGGACCCGGCCTCTTCCCCCTCTTCCGGGGACCAGCCGGAGTCGGCGTCGCCGGAGCTCGGGAGGGCGGGGAGGAGAGGGGAAGGCGGAGACGGGGGAGGCGGTGGCGGAGGCAGAAGAGGAGCGCCGAGGAGCCGGAGACGATGCGCCCGGAGCCCCGCTGCTGCCCGGAGGCGCCCGCGGCCTGAGCCCCCGAGGGGCCGTGGACCGTCCTGCCCGGCCCGACTCTCCGCACGGGGCTTTCGATTTGGCTTCCAACT